CTGATCTTCGATTACAAGCTTATGAAGTTCTGGGGGTGGGCAACGTACCAACACCCAGCCACTCAACACTGTAATGAAATATAGAAATACCCCCCCCCCCCCCCCAAAAACAAAAGATTTTCGTATAAATCCTTTATAAAATGTAATATCGAGCAAGGGCGGATAATTTGACAAAACATTAATTCGTGTAACACATTTGATAAGAATCCAAATTAGTACCCCCCCCCCCACAGCCCCAAGGCTCGCAACGGCACCTTTGCCCACGCCCCTGAACTATATCAATATGCTAGTGACACATCCGCTTGTACACCGCAGATTTATTTCACCAACTATTCCAGAAACCACCAAAGGAAACACCAAGCACCAGAAGCACCAGCGGTACAGAGAGATCTACAGGGTGGGCCAATAAAAGGGAGAACATATCGTAAGATCTAGGGCAACGTTTCATTGAGAGAAGCGTAAACGAGGGGCGTCGATGCTTGGAAAAAGTCGTTGAGACGCAAGGAGGACACATTGAACATGATTTCTGATTAGCTAAATATTTTGCACAAAAAAATGACATGAAGAATTATCATTAATTGAATTATATTTTGAAATAACTCATATGCTACGAGATTATTGGCCCACCCTGTGTATTGATGAAGAATCTCACTTAGCGCAGCTTTTGGGGATTTTATTCCGTTAAATCAGTGTCATCATATTTCCTTTATGGAAAAGAAAATAAACTTAAATAAAAACTGACTTAGAGCTGGGGTGTGGGGCTGAAAATTTGAAAGACTGCTGTGTCATCGGCAACGAATCTATGTGCCACGTTTCAGCTCGATAGGTTTACGGGAAGTTGGCCAAATAACCGTCGGAGGATTGTGCCAGCCACGAAACTAAAGTGAATTTAATTTAAAGGATTTAAAAGGGATAGACTGAAGCAGAAAGGGGGGGGGGAAGCAACACAAAAACAAGTTTATAGAAATTATGTTTGCACTCCCTGGAACTAAATCCATAAATGACTCGTAAGATTAGTCTTTCACTCGCCATTAGGTCTTTAATCCGGGATCCTGTCACTAGACGAGACTAGTCTTTCAGGTGAGATGACGTCTCTTAACCGAAAGCAGTCATTATTGACAACTGTGCGGGTCTGGCTGGCATTATACACTTTAACCAAAAAGATATTCTTTATGATCTGGATTCTGTCGTGTCATTGCCATTGTCAAATAAAAAATAATTAATAAATTTTAAAAAAAAAGACGTTATGGCTTTGTAAAGCACCCGTAGTTAAAACTCGGGGGTTGGAGTGTGGGGGAGGGGGGCTATGACTATACAGCCCAGACAGTAGAAGAGGTCACCCTGAACGGTTTGACTAAAATTAATGCCCCCCCCCCACCTTTTTTTTCGCCCATCATTCCTACACCCTCAGGTCAGGTGACGAGGGTGCTCCAGTTCTTCACACCATCCGTTCAGACAAGCGCGGAGACTCTGCGGAAACCTATCGACAAACAGACACCGGTGGATTAAAGGGACGACCATCTCCAACGGACGTTCAAAGGGAAACAAAACGGGGACAACAACAAAAAAATCCAGACGGATGGCCGGAGCGACCGATGATTTCTTAGTAGGTCATATTTTTCAAACCCGTAGTAGGTCATGACTTTGAAACCCGTAGTAAGTCATGTCTTTGAAACCCGCAGTAGGCCATGTCTTTGAAACCCGCAGTAGGTCATGTCTTTCAAACCCGCAATAGGTCATATATTTAAATTTAAATCCCGCAGTAGGTCCTTACTAACCCGTTTTCGTTCAGTTTTAGTCTGCACTCTGTTCTGAGCGGGTTTTACCCTTAGTATACACACACACAATCATACAAAATTCTCGTTATGAAATATGTTCTGTTTAATGCAGTAGAATGTTGAACTATGTCTTTCATTATGTGGGTATTGATGGATAGAGTGTTTTACGAATGTACGTCTTGTCATAGTCATCAAAAAAAAAAAAATTGGAATAAATTACCAGTATTATTGTCGCTGCCCATGGCCATTAAGACTATATTTCTAGATTTATTCGCTTGATTGGCTACACGCACTTCGTTCATACACACACATCTGATTGCATGCACTACTTGCTTTTCATTTTATTGGAAGCCTGTGCTTATCTTGAATAAGTTATATTTTTTCCAAGCCGACCACGTTAGAAAACGTATTACTTTTTAAAAAAAAAATAATTCACGGTGTGAATCGAAAACTCAATTAATAAATATTACCGCCATGACCATGGGATTATTGCGGGATCTTCAAACGCTATCTTGTCTTGTTGGCCCTGTATCTGGCAGCCTGTCGTCCTTTCAGCTATCTTATCGATCTCTTTCTCTGCCATTCAAGCCTAAGACAAGACCAAAGCACGAGGCTTTGGGGGAGGGGGGGGGTTGAAAAAAATTAAAGTGGGGGGGGGTGGGTAGATAAAGGTATTTAAATAAAACCGCTCACAAATTTCACGTTATCTTAATATTTACGAT